TTAACAAATGATTCCTCCCCGTTTGGCAGATCGAGTGTGCGTGTCTATGGGGAATGGTAGAGTACGAATATGGACACAAAAACTGTTGAATAAATATATTAATGCTGACTGGAAGGCGCTGGTGTTGTGTCGATCATATCCCACAGAGCGAAGTCCGTCTCTCTGTCTCCATTCTCATCCAGATGCACGATGCCCGTGACACTGAACACCAGCAGGAGAGGACTCTTTAAAGTAGAGACACTACATACTGATATACACCTGAACATCAGCAGGAGAGGACTCTTTAAAGTAGAGGACACTACATACTGATATACACCTGAACATCAGCAGGGAGAGGACTCTTTAAAGTAGAGACACTTACATACTGATATACACCTGAACATCAGCAGGAGAGGACTCTTTAAAGTAGAGACACTACATACTGATATACACCTGAACATCAGCAGGAGAGGACTCTTTAAAGTAGAGACACTACATACTGATATACACCTGAACATCAGCAGGAGAGGACTCTTTAAAGTAGAGACACTACATACTGATATACACCTGAACATCAGCAGGAGAGGACTCTTTAAAGTAGAGACACTACATACTGATATACACCTGAACATCAGCAGGAGAGGACTCTTTAAAGTAGAGACACTACATACTGATATACACCTGAACATCAGCAGGAGAGGACTCTTTAAAGTAGAGACACTACAATACTGATATACACCTGGAACATCAGCAGGAGGAGGACTCTTTAAAGTAGAGACACTAACATACTGATATACACCCTGAACATCAGCAGGAGAGGACTCTTTAAAGTAGAGACACTACATACTGATATACACCTGAACATCAGCGGGAGAAGGACTCTTTAAAGTAGAGACACTACATACTGATATACACCTGAACATCAGCAGGAGAGGACTCTTTAAAGTAGAGACACTACATACTGATATACACCTGAAACATCAGCAGGAGAGGACTCTTTAAAGTAGAGACACTACATACTGATATACACCTGAACATCAGCAGGAGAGGACTCTTTAAAGTAGAGACACTACATACTGATATACACCTGAACATCAGCAGGAGAGGACTCTTAAAGTAGAGACACTACATACTGATATACACCTGAACATCAGCAGGATAGGACTCTTTAAAGTAGAGACACTACATACTGATATACACCTGAACATCAGCAGGAGAGGACTCTTTTAAGTAGAGACACTACATACTGATATACAACCTGAACATCAGCAGGAGAGGACTCTTTAAAGTAGAGACACTACATACTGATATACACCTGAACATCAGCAGGAGAGGACTCTTTAAAGTAGAGACACTACATACTGATATACACCTGAACATCAGCAGGAGAGGACTCTTTAAAGTAGAGACACTACATACTGATATACACCTGAACATCAGCAGGAGAGGACTCTTTAAAGTAGAGACACTACATACTGATATACACCTGAACATCAGCGGAGAGGACTCTTTAAAGTAGAGACACTACATACTGATATACACCTGAACATCAGCAGGAGAGGACTCTTTAAAGTAGAGACACTACATACTGATATACACCTGAACATCAGCAGGAGAGGACTCTTTAAAGTAGAGACACTACATACTGATATACACCTGAACATCAGCAGGAGAGGACTCTTTAAAGTAGAGACACTACATACTGATATACACCTGAACATCAGCAGGAGAGGACTCTTTAAAGTAGAGACACTACATACTGATATACACCTGAACATCAGCAGGAGAGGACTCTTTAAAGTAGAGACACTAATACTGATATACACCTGAACATCAGCAGGAGAGGACTCTTTAAAGTAGAGACACTACATACTGATATACACCTGAACATCAGCAGGAGAGGACTCTTTAAAGTAGAGACACTACATACTGATATACCTGAACATCAGCAGGAGAGGACTCTTTAAAGTAGAGACACTACATACTGATATACACCTGAACATCAGCAGGAGAGGACTCTTTGAATCTGAAGTAAAGTTCAGGGCTGACATTAAAAATACGGTAAACTTGTTGGTGTGTTTTTCACAGACTTGTGACGCAGACAGGGTTTTCGTTCTTGAAGCCGCAGAAGGGAACATCCCGAGGACGAACTCCTCCGAGCCAGTGCAGAGTGGTTCCAGGGTTGGCTGACAGCTGCTCCTCTGAACTGTTGTACACCAAAACTATCTGAAATAACAAAAACAACAAACATTTCAAGACGTTGGGTTTAAGAGTAGAGTTCTATGTTTATGTCTTTACCTTTATAAGAGATTAAAGATGAAGTATTACGCATGATGCTGCACGTCAATATGCAGTATTTTAAGTATTCAGACGCAGTGTGAGCTGGTAGCTGGAGAGGTGCCAGTTCACCTCCTGTGTGTGTGTGTGTGTGTGGGTATGTGTGTGTGTACATGTATATCCTCTGTGTGTGTGCATGTGTATCCTCTGTGTGTGTGTGTGTGTGTGTGTGTGTGTGTGTGCATGTGTATCCTCTGTGTGTGCATGTGTATCCTCTGTGTGTGTGTGTGTGTGTGTGTGTGTGTGTGTGTGCATGTGTATCCTCTGTGTGTGTGTGTGTGTGTGTGTGTGCATGTGTATCATCTGTGTGTGTGTGTGTGTGTGTGTGTGTGTGTGCATGTGTATCCTCTGTGTGTGTGTGTATGTGTGTGTGTACATGTGTATCCTCTGTGTGTGTGTGTGTGTGTGTGTGTGTGTGTGTGTGCATGTGTATCCTCTGTGTGTGTGTGTATGTGTGTGTGTGTGTGTGTGTGTGTGTGTGTGTGCATGTGTATCCTTTGTGTGTGTGTGTGTGTGTGTGTATGTGTGTGTGTGTGTGTGTGTGTGTGTGTGTGCATGTATATCCTCTGTGTGTGTGCATGTATATCCTCTGTGTGTGTGTGTGTGTGTGTGTGTGTGTGTGTGTGCATGTATATCCTCTGTGTGTGTGTGTGTGTGTGTGTGTGTGTGTGTGTGTGTGTGTGGTGTGTGTGTGTGTGTGTGTGTGTGTGTGTGTGTGTGTGTGTGTGTGTGTGTGTGTGTGTGTGCATGTATATCCTCTGTGTGTGTAACGTGTGGAAACACAACAGAGTGGAGAAAGTAATTTCCCTGTGAGTTTTAATAAAGTATTTCTTCTTCTTCTTCTTCTTCTTCTTCTTCTTCTTCTTCTTCTTCTTCTTCTTCTTCTTCAGATGATGATGATGATGATGATGATGATGATGATGATGACGATGATGATGATGGTGTACTTGAGTAAATTAGAAATAACTCAGGATGAAACGTTTGGATGGGTGATCTGACTGGCTGAGTAGATCACAGGTTGTTTTTGGGCATGACTTATTTAGTGATGTGGCAAATGATCATAGTTCTATGATGTCACAAGGATTTTCAATATCAAATTCTTACCAAGTCCTCGTTGAGACCGAGTCGATATTTGTGGCACTTTTAACAAATGATTCCTCCCCGTTTGGCAGATCGAGTGTGCGTGTCTATGGGAATGGTAGAGTACGAATATGGAGACACAAAAACTGTTGAATAAATATATTAATGCTGACCTGGAAGGCGCTGGTGTTGGTGTCGATCATATCCCACAGAGCGAAGTCCGTCTCTCTGTCTCCATTCTCATCCAGATGCACGATGCCCGTGACACCTGAACACCAGCAGGAGAGGACTCTTTAAAGTACAGACACTACATACTGATATACACCTGAACACCAGCAGGAGAGGACTCTTTAAAGTAGAGACACTACATACTGATATACACCTGAACATCAGCAGGAGAGGGCTCTTTAAAGTACAGACACTACATACTGATATACACCTGAACACCAGCAGGAGAGGGCTCTTTAAAGTACAGACACTACATACTGATATACACCTGAACATCAGCAGGAGAGGACTCTTTAAAGTACAGACACTACATACTGATATACACCTGAACATCAGCAGGAGAGGACTCTTTAAAGTAGAGACACTACATACTGATATACACCTGAACATCAGCAGGAGAGGACTCTTTAAAGTACAGACACTACATACTGATATACACCTGAACATCAACAGGAGAGGACTCTTTAAAGTAGAGACACTACATGCTGATATACACCTGAATATCAGCAGGAGAGGACTCTTTAAAGTAGAGACACTACATACTGATATACACCTGAACATCAACAGGAGAGGACTCTTTAAAGTAGAGACACTACATACTGATATACACCTGAACATCAACAGGAGAGGACTCTTTAAAGTAGAGACACTACATACTGATATACACCTGAACATCAGCAGGAGAGGACTCTTTAAAGTAGAGACACTACATACTGATATACACCTGAACATCAACAGGAGAGGACTCTTTAAAGTAGAGACACTACATACTGATATACACCTGAACATCAGCAGGAGAGGACTCTTTAAAGTAGAGACACTACATACTGATATACACCTGAACATCAGCAGGAGAGGACTCTTTAAAGTAGAGACACTACATACTGATATACACCTGAACACCAGCAGGAGAGGACTCTTTAAAGTAGATACACTACATACTGATATACACCTGAACATCAGCAGGAGAGGACTCTTTAAAGTAGAGACACTACATACTGATATACACCTGAACATCAGCAGGAGAGGACTCTTTAAAGTAAAGACACTACATACTGATATACACCTGAACATCAGCAGGAGAGGACTCTTTAAAGTAGAGACACTACATACTGATATACACCTGAACATCAGCAGGAGAGGACTCTTTAAAGTAGAGACACTACATACTGATATACACCTGAACATCAGCAGGAGAGGACTCTTTAAAGTAGAGACACTACATACTGATATACACCTGAACATCAGCAGGAGAGGACTCTTTAAAGTAGAGACACTACATACTGATATACACCTGAACATCAGCAGGAGAGGACTCTTTAAGCAGAGACACTACATACTGATATACACCTGAACCTCAGCAGGAGAGGACTCTTTAAAGCAGAGACACTACATACTGATATACACCTGAACATCAGCAGGAGAGGACTCTTTAAAGTAGAGACACTACATACTGATATACACCTGAACATCAGCAGGAGAGGACTCTTTAAAGTAGAGACACTACATACTGATATACACCTGAACATCAGCAGGAGAGCACTCTTTAAAGTAGAGACACTACATACTGATATACACCTGAACATCAGTAGGAGAGGACTCTTTAAAGTAGAGACACTGCACACTGATATACTCCTGAACATCAGCAGGAGAGCACTCTTTAAAGTAGAGACACTACATACTGATATACACCTGAACATCAGCAGGAGAGGACTCTTTAAAGTAGAGACACTACATACTGATATACACCTGAACATCCGCAGGAGAGCACTCTTTAAAGTAGAGACACTACATACTGATATAACCTGAACATCAGCAGGAGAGGACTCTTTAAAGCAGAGACACTACATACTGATATACACCTGAACATCAGCAGGAGAGGACTCTTTAAAGTAGAGACACTACATACTGATATACACCTGAACATCAGCAGGAGAGGACTCTTTAAAGTAGAGACACTACATACTGATATACACCTGAACATCAGCAGGAGAGCACTCTTTAAAGTAGAGACACTACATACTGATATACACCTGAACATCAGCAGGAGAGGACTCTTTAAAGTAGAGACACTGCACACTGATATACTCCTGAACATCAGCAGGAGAGCACTCTTTAAAGTAGAGACACTACATACTGATATACACCTGAACATCAGCAGGAGAGGACTCTTTAAAGTAGAGACACTACATACTGATATACACCTGAACATCCGCAGGAGAGCACTCTTTAAAGTAGAGACACTACATACTGATATACACCTGAACATCAGCAGGAGAGGACTCTTTAAACATGAATATCAACAGGTTTTTAAATATCCTCAAATATCACAAAGTTGACCCTTTCAAGAAAGCGGTGTCACAGCTGGAAATCAGTGAAGAAAATCCTACATTTCATAGCAGCATACAAACGAGAATAAATGTTGAATACTAATTTCCATTTGGCATGTAAACATATTAGTAGAAATAATGTGTTTTCAGGGAAAGTATAATGATTAAAGTGAGGGGGGTCGACTGAAATGCACTGATTTATTGATGGAAAAGTAATTTGCCATAAGAGGTTAATTACAGCCAATAAGCAGTGTGTGTGTGTGTGTTGCTATAAGGACCCAGACGACTTGTTTCCATAGCTACAAGGCAATTATGGATCAGCAGAGAGCAGCGATTGGTGACGGAGGAACACTTGCTGGCTTTGATGCAGCGTGTACACTCGCTACCGACCGACACAGAAATACTGTTGCTATTGTTAGTCTTTGTTTTAAGGGAAATAACAACATAAAGATGTTTTATTGTCATTTTACAGCGATCAAAATATCAGACACTTTTGGGAGATAGTCCCAGTCATATACTTTACATACATGTCGTGTGTAAGTGACGGTTTACGATATTATTTTGATCCTTTTATTGTTTGTTTATGGTAATCTTACCACTTTAAATTAGGAGATAACATGTTAAAAACGTACCATTTTACTCTGCAGCACTTTGAGTTTTGTTTACTCAAATGAAAAGTGCGCTTATAAATACAATTGATTATTAATATTGTACACATTTTTTGTTTTTTTAGAGACAAAGCCAGAATGTCAACTTTAGAAACAAATAATATACAATTCAAAGTAGAGGTGCACCGAATGGGAAATTCTTGGCCGAAACCGATACCGAAAATAGGAAACAGTTGGCCGAAAACCGAATGCCGAAAGGCCGAAAATGATTAATAGAAATATTATATATATATAATGTATACATTTTTTACCAATGTTGTTCAGCTACCTGATTATGGAAATAGACATGATTATGGCAAAACTTAACTTAAATAATAATCACTATTATGGGTCCATAAAACATTATTCAGCACTTTTGAATGCATACAGTACATTTATATATTTCATGTATTATTGCTAAAAAACATCATATCGCAGTCTTAGTGTCGCCAACTCGTTTCTAATATGCAAAGACAACAAATGCGTCTATGATGTATTTTCGATCAGACGAGATCTCTCCCCCCCGTCTGTGTGCGAGGGGGCGGGGCAGTTTACACACACGCAGCTGCTACATGCAGCGGAGCACACTGCGGAGATGGCAGAGAGAACGCGCTCCGAGGTGTGGTTAAACTTTACCCGTCTCGATGTGGAGAATACTTGTTACCATAAGTGCAATAAGAGTTTAGCATGTAAGCACGAGCAATTTGTCTAAACATTTAGCAAAAGTGCACCGCATGCAGACGGAGGTATGCACCGGGTTCGACCGTCTTTCTAGCAGCTCTGTAGCCCCATCCACGAGTAACGTTTCCACGTCAGGTGTTATATATGCTAGCAGCAACACACGGAGTTAACTACATTATACAAACATAGGTTAATGATTAGAGGAAACTGAGTTATTTAGTTTGTTAACATTTCAGCTATTCTGTTTACAGTCTGTCATCAGATTATTTAATACGATTTGTTAAAGGCTCAGGGCAATCTCGATGACAAAGGTCAATGTTCCGCCCCCTGTGAGCCAGCCGCGAGCATGGTCGCCGCGTCTTTATTACGTCATCACAACAACACGTTAGGTTACCAACGTAAGTCTGTTCTGACATTCGGTGATATTTTTTCGGCCGAAAGCCGAAAGGGCCTTTTTAACCATTTTCGGCCGATAATTTTCGGTGGCAGAATATTCGGTGCATCCCTAATTCAAAGTGTATCAGCTGGTTTTGTGCAGATACGGTGAAACGGAGGGGCGGGGTTTCACAGCAAGAAAGGGGCGGGCCATAGTGCAGCATAGGGGGCGGAGTCATACGGAGGGGGTGGGGTCAGGTGAAGGGGGCGTAGTCACAGCGACAAGGGCTCAGAGGCCTGTACTACCAAGCCGGATGTTCGCTTAGCGGCTAACTTCAGGGAAAACTCTGGGTTTCCGGTCCTACGACACTGGTTCTCTTTTTAGCAGGCTAGATCTCCATGGTAACTTATGCTGAGCGGCTAACCTGCTCCGGAGCAGGTTAGGTTGCAGGCTAAGAGCTCAACTCAGTGAAAGCACCGCCTGCTGACCAATCAGAGCTCAGTTTGCGGAGTTCAAAGCGATCAAGTCATATTACAGGAGAAAGGAAATACAGAAAAGCTGCCGTTGCAAAAATCACCGACTGTGTGAACGTGAACATTAATAGAATATCACCTCCATCTTCAGAGCAATCTGACTATTATAACATTAGCGTTAAGAAAGCTTACTTAAATATCTGCCACAACATAAGTAACCGGATCAGAGTAACATTAAGTACAGTCCACGGCATACCACATCATAATGTATCATATATCTCCTGATCTGAGTCAGCTGAGCCGTATCTGGCCGTGCAACACTCACACTGTCACATACTGTATGCAGAAGTATTATTTTAAGCAACACATTAAGTTGACGGAAACACTCGAGTCAAATGTAATGAAAGTCAGATCGTGTCTTAGAACGGGGCAGTGATATCATAAACCTGTTAATGTACGCATTCAAACACTTGTTCTGTTCCCAGCTGTATTCACCTTGCAGGTGCAGCTCTGTGGCTTTGATCCTGGATCAA